CACGATCCTGGTGAGTGCCATCTGGAATTGGAGAACAAAATGAAACAGTAGAAAGAGGTGTCAAGGGGCCTGAATTTGAGACCTAGTTTAGCTACCTACTGGCTATTTGACCTTGCCCGGACCACTTAGCCTCTCTGACCTCATCTCAATAGTAAAGTTACAATAATAATAATAATAATAATAATAATAATAATAATAATAATATAGGGCTCTTTAGTGATCACAAGGAAGGCCAGATAGGACTGTGGTGAAGGGTGGCAGTGCAGTCTCAGCCCTACCACTTACTGGCTGTGTGGCTTAGGTGAGTGCTAGACCCCTCTCAGCTTTGGTTTCCTCACCTGCAATATAGGGATGCTGACACCTGCCTGGGTAGTTGTAAGGACAAAATGCAATAGTCCATGTAAATCATAGTGTGGTACCTTTTGCATAGACAGTGCTCAATAATCAGTGATTTTTTATCATTAACATGATTATGTTTGTAAATTTTTAAATTCTTCAATGCATAAAAATGAAATATTGTAATATTTAGCATGATATAATGTCACTGGGTAACGGGATAATTTTTTTTAATGTAAACAGGAAAAAAGAATGGAGATGGTAAGCACACGGGCCATCTTCATAATGAAGGGACTTTGTAGATAAGGACAGTTGAGGACTCAGGATCCCAAAAAATAACTCATGTTGGCTGAGCTAAGACTTGGTGATATAGGTGGTTTTTAAGAATGAGAAGCACTAGCAATGATCAGTGGCCTTGTTTCAGGATGTATACGGTTATCTAGTGAGAGACTGAGAATCACTAATAATCTAACATTTCCGGAGCCACTGAGAGCCAGAGCAACTGGTATGTTAATGCAGCGATTTTCAACTGGTGTGCCCTGGCAGACACACTGGTGAGCCGCAAGAATTTTTAAAACATGCAATACCCGACTAGTCAGGAGCACTGACCTCTTTTCCCTTAGATTGTCAAATAAAAAATGACAACAGCCAAAACAACAATAGCCTACCAGTGTAAATAAATCAAAATGATACCTATATATTTTTTTATCAGATTGACAAAAAATATAATGTATTTTTTGATGTGCCACAGAATTTTTGTAATTAGTTTATGTGTGCCATGAGCTGGAAAAGGTAGAAAATCGCTGTGTTAATGAAATCTATAAAGACACTCAACGAGCCTCCCAGGAGCCTCTTCGGAACTGGAGAAACTCAACCCAAGAAGGCCAGAAATAATGCAAAAGAGCCTCAAAAGTCCATTCACTGTGCCTTACATCTTGTTAGGCACCGAGGATTTATGGACCAAAAACACAGTCCCTTTCTGCACTGAGTCCACAGTCCAGTGAAGGACAGAGCAAGTAAATCACTACAATTCAGTGAGGGGGTTATAGGTAAATTTTGGGTACAAGAGAGCTCAGAGGTGGGGCTCTTAACCCAGGGGTCAGGGAAGGTTCCCCAGAGGGAGCAACACCTGAGCAAGCTCTACAACTACCCAAGCAGTTAATCCAACAGAGAGAACTCTTTTGAAACAACCCAGAAGCTGAACTCCAAGTCATTTAGTAATTTGGTCGTGTCGTGCTGAGACGGGGTGCGGGCCTTTGGAAAGGGGGAGACTTCCTTTGTAATGTCAGCATTAGAGTCATTGTCCTTCTAAGAACTCTGGTTTGAAAAAAAGCACATGATGCCCTCATCCTCCCAAAAAATCGTATTGGGAATTTTATTACAGTTTTAAATTAACATGTGTCTTATTAATCCCAACAGTGCCTACTGGCATTCACATTTGAGAAATATTATCTTGTCTATGTGCAAGGCTTACTAGTTTTTCATTGTAAAACAACCTTTGTTCATGCATATATTGATGAAATCCTTACAGAAACTGCCAACTCATCCCACACACACTCCCGGGGTCTGTGACCCACAGTGAGTCAGCACTGGGGTAAGGGTACTGGCGTGATCGGAGACTGGGAGGTAGCTGGAGCTGGGCTTGCGTGTCTGTTCGAGTGGAAGGGATGGGGAGTCCCCGGAGAGCCTGAAGCAGTGACAGCCCAGGTCACTAGGGCAACAGTGTGGCAAGTGCAGGGGTGGGGTCTGAGCTAAAGTAATAGCAGTGAATGGAGAGAAAGGAGCAGATGTGAAAAGTATTAAAAGGTAGAATTGATTGGACTTAAGGACGCTACATGTAGGAACTGAGGGAGAAATATCAGATGGCGCCTAGCTTTCTGGCTTAGGTAACTGAGGACGGTGGTACCAGCACAAAGATAAAAAGGCAGAAAAGAGGACAGGGTCTGAGTAGAAGATTTTTGCTTTAGACGTAGGAACTTTGAAGTGGAGGTACATAAGTTAGGGGGGTCTAGGCTAGAGATGCTGGATTGGGAATCATGGACATGTAGATAATAAAGTCCTGGGTGTGGGTGACGGCACTCAGGGGGTGTATGTAATATGGAAAAAGAAGAGGCCCAAGGACAAAGACCGTGAACCCCAACATCTGAGAGGCAGGTAGAAGAGAGCAGCCCCCCTGCAAAAGAAATGGAGGAAAAGAGGGAGAGAGGGAGAGAGAGAGAGAGAGAGGAAGAAAGAGAACGAACATAGAAGCCAAGGGAAGAGAAGCCTTCAGCCGGGGAGCCAGGAAAGTAGTCATTGCCACAGAGCACTCAAGTCTAAGGACCAAAAAGTGTATCTACCCATCACGGCAATGAAAAGTATAACAAAAACACCACTTCCCACTTACATGGCTCATTAGGCTTGCAAAGCACTTTCATATTTTTATTTCATTGCATTCCCACTACAGCCTTGTGCAGTCTCACAGATGCAAAAGCTGCAGGACGTGAGGTTGAGAGATTTTCCATAACCATCGAGCAAGTTAGCAGTCGGGCTCCTGGAATTAGAGATCAGTCCAGAATCTTGACCATGCTCCCTGGGTCCACCCACTCCGAGTGAACTTTTTAACCAGCCAATAAGGAAATCAGAATGGGGCCTGTTCCAGCATAACTACTCCTTATCAGTATAGAAATTAAAAGGCTTGCCTGTGTCCCACTCGGTCCTGCATTGCCTAGAAGCCAGAGGTGCCAGTACTCTGGGATCACCTGAATCTAAAAGGGCAACACCTAGTTCCTCAAGGGGAGAGCTTGCACCTAATTCTGCATCTGAGAGGGACAGTGAAGGCTTTCAAGTAGAGAAGTGATACATGCGAGTATGCTTCGGAAAGGTTAATTAGTATCATTGAACTTGTGTTTGACAGTGCATACGTCTGGTTGTTGGATAGTCACACCACCTGAAGGAAAATAGTGAAAATACACTGTTAAGACCTGTCTGCATTTTTGTTTTGTTTTGTTTTGTTTTGTTTTTGCAACAGAAACACCTCTTTCATCCTGCCTCCCACACTAATGAGTAGACTGTCTTCACCAGAGAGAATAACTCGAATTTGGAGCAGATTTGATGGGGTCAATACCTAATCTTCAGACCTAGATTTTCCCACCCCCAGAGGCAGGCCTGGCTCTGTACAGGAGTCTCCTCCTCACTCACTCCTTAGTCATACCAGCGAGAAGACTGGGCTGCCCCCTCTGGCCTGTCAGATCTGGACTCGGCCCAGACTTACTCCTGGAGGGCCTGGCCGGGAGCTGCCCCTCTGCCTCACTCTCCATGGGGAGCAACTCACAACACACTTATCTCTGGGAATCCACTGCTCCATTGGGCCTGAGTCTGGTTATCTCTCTCTAAACCTATCGTTCACAGCACAGAAGGAACACTAAACAAAGACCTTTGTATCAATTTCTAACATTTATTCTCTTTACTGCTCAGATGATATCACTGCAGTTGAAGGTTGGGCAAGGCCCAGAAACAGTCTTCACCATGCACTGTTGATTTTCTGAGGGTAACTCACAGCCTTATTTCCAGCGGGTGGCCTGGTTCTGGCCTTTTCTACTGACCCATAAAGCTGAGCTTCAACCTGGGTACATGGCTGTGCGAGCAATCCCCAGTCGGGAACAGCTGGGAAGTTGTCTGGATTCTGTACTGCAGGCCAAGCACGGGTCGTCTGTTCCCCTTCGCTCTCTAACTGCACTATGCGTGTGGCCCCTTCTCAGGGTGAAGGGTGCTGCTGCCCAGGAGGAAAAAACAGACAGGATAGGTGAACTGTGATCACAAATGCCCACTTTTATCACTTTATACCTCATTGTATTGCTAAAAGAGAAAACATCGTTAAATATTAGATATGAAAACTCACTCTTAGATTAGAAAAAGAGAGTTGTTAGCTATCTCTGTCCTTCAGAATAGCCCTATACAAGTAATATGGTGTCAGTTCTCTAAGCTATCAAGTAAATTAGTGAAAACCTCAAGTTAAATAAAAGATTCTGGAAATCATTTTAAGCCTGTTCAGCAGACCACAGGTCTAACTAAAGTGCTATTATGACTTAAAACATATATAAGCATGAGCCCCGGCTCCGTTGGTTGAGCACCATCCATGCACCGAAGGTCACCGATTTGATTCCTGGTCAGGGCACATGCCCAGGTTTCGGGTTTGATCCCCGGTCAGGGTGCACACAGGAGGCAGCCAATCAATGTTTCTCACTTCAATGTTTCTCCCTCTCTCTCTCACCCTCTCCGCCCCCATCTAAATCAATAAAAACATATTTAATATATATATAAGCACTAAACACTTTTCAGCTTCTGAGTCTCAGAGACTTGTCACTTATCTAAATGATGTGTCTGTGGAGCTAGACAACCTGTGTTCAAATCCTGGCTTCCAGACCTACAAGCTGATCTTGGCAAGTCACTAACCGCTGCAGGTAGAAAGGGGATCATGAGTTTCTTTCTCAGAGTGTTACTGAGATGTTTGAATATGTTATTAAAATAAAGCCCCTAGGTGAGAGCCTGGGCATCGCAAGTGTCAGTCAGTGAGAGCTGTGCATGTGTCAGACAGACAGGCAGCCGCCTGGGGCTGCCCAGGCTCTGTTGCAATGGTCCCTTATAATGCATTAACCAGTTCCACGATGTTTTCCTCACCACAGGTCAGTGCAGCTGAACGGCCAGCCCTTGGTGATGGTGGACGATGGGACGCTCCCAGAATTGAAGCCCCGCCCCCTGCGAGCAGGCCGGACATTGGTCATCCCTCCAGTCACCATGGGCTTTTATGTGGTCAAGAATGTCAACGCCTTGGCCTGCCGCTACCGATAAGCCACCCTCGCCCTCACGAAGCTCCAGCGCGCCTGCTGGACTGCTTTCCACCCTTCCGCCCAATAGTATCCTTACTTTTCAGGCATCTAGCACCAAACCAGCCTCTGCCGCCCCATCCTGCTGGGATCAACATAGACTTGCTCTCCCGAGATAGCACAAGCTTAGCCCGGGTAGTTCACATCCACCCCAGAGGGGAATGTGGACATCGCCTGACCTACGTGAGGATGAAGGTATGTGCAGAGCTGTACGTATCCTTGTTCGTGTACCGCGAAACCAAGCTGAAGCACACTCCCTGGACAGACGGGACAGCTCCCCACGGTGCTGGCCGCAGGGCGGCATCACTGCAGGCCTTCGCCTGGGCCGCCGCCCTCAGCGGAAGATGGCAAGGAAGAAAGCCGGGTGGGCCTGAGAGCCCCGTCCCCTCCAGCCCCTTTCCTCCGTCTGCTCCCCGCTGTTGCGCCGGTTTCCTGTGAGCTCCCTTCCCAGAGGGGGGCCGCGGGGAGCCAGCGCCGGCCTGCGGGGTGAGCTCCGTGTCATTTCCTGGCTGATGTATGAGCCTGTGCATCTGGGTTTCTGACAGTGGCATCGATCACTGGCTACTCCTCTGGGAAGCCGGTGCTCAAAAGTAAAATTGCGCTCATACTCCAGGCTTCATAAGAAGGTTCTACTCCTCTGTGGATCCGGACTCCCCAGGGTTGCAGTGGGGGTCAGGCGACAACACTCGCTAAGTGGAGAGCAGTGTATTAGGCACCACGAAAAGCGACCATCATCCGCCGTGTGGCTGTGCGGGGGCAGTTTCGGTGCATGGAGAAAGCACATCACACCACCAGCACACATGCGCACACACCAACAACTGAACAAAGCAGATCATCAGACCCGCCTCAGACTTGAAAGAATATTTATTAAGGATAAGCCCCAAAACCATTTAAAAAATAAAAGAGGTGTAGGTCAAAGGTCCTCACCGTAGGACACAGCTGACTAATCGTTCTGCCTCGTCGCGAGTAGCTGTGTGCCTCTCGGTGCGTTTGCTAGGCAGAAATCCAATCTGGTCACTGAAGACCACCGGGCCCCTCCTGTCCCAGACCAGCTTATTTGAGCAGTGGACACAGCTTCCGGTTAGCGGTTATGGGGAAGGCGGAATCTGGAGACAGGGCTGATGGGAAAACCTTGGGTGGTGGGTGGAAAGCTCCCAGTTGGAAGGGGGCAAGTGGAGTGAGTGGAAGTTCATCGTGAGGACCTTCTGTCTGGGCTGTGGGGTCTTTGCAAACAATCTGCCTCTGAAATGACTTCCTTTTCCGCGGATGGGATCTTCTTTCTCAGGATAAATGACATGAGTGATGCTCTTTTAAAAGGAGGAGATATTTGATAATGTCAGGGTTCCAACTAAGGGAGCGATGCAATTTCTGCTGCTGTCCAAGGACAGGAATGGAGGGGAGGGGAGGGAGGGGCGGGACTGCTGAGGCCAGAGGCCAGGGAGACTGCCGAAGGTGCCAAGGAGTTAGGTAAGGACTAGGCCAAGTGTGCAGAGTGAACGGTAGGGTGAGAGACGGGGGAAGATGAAACAGGAGAGGAGGCAGAGGATTCTCAGCTTGGGGAACTGCAAGTTGGGGAGAGGGAAGCTGACAGGCTCATTGTACGTGTAAAGAAGAGAGTGCACATGGTTTCGACAGGCTTATTATTAGGTACAGAAGGAACAGCACACGGAAGGTGCAGCGAGAAAGGGGAGATGGGACCGGCTGGACCCAGTGGGTGGCTCAGCCTGGAAGCAGCTCTGGAGAGGGAGGCCACTCAGAGGGTCTACCTGCCACTGAAGCTTCAGCTCCGAGAGGGGAGAGAGAAAGGAGGAGAGAGGTTACAGAGGACGAGCCCAAGGGAGGAAGAGAGTGAAAAAAGAGAAATGAGAGACCAAGAGATTGTTTCCCCAAACTCTTATCAGAAGCTCTTCTATCCATTGGTGCAAGCAGAGCTGCAGGGCCCCTGATAGTAACCAGCCCCTGATAGTAATCGAGGTCCTTGCAGGCCCAGCCCTGGGCTTCTTTGCTTTACATACACAGTAGCCCCTGTTTTTCCTGTAAGTCATGCAGAGGGTCCAGACCTTTCCCAGGGTCACCTGGGGCAACGGTTTGCTGAGCTCAGAACAATCGAGAACTTGTTCATTTAACCACCACGCTCAGTGGCTGCCTAGTTCACAGACTCGCCCTTTCACCTCTTCACGGCTTCTGCTACTTCAGTCCAGCCAGGACCTCCAAAGCTCCACTCAGACACACTTTCTGTAAGCGCCAATTTTCACAAAGCCTCCACGTGTGCAGAATATAGGTAGTTCCTGCTGCTGCTTTCTCTATGTATTAGAAGCTGCTCCTAAGAGGTTTTGCTCTTTTAGTTGATAAAAAGGGAGAAGGGGATCACTGAGATTTATCTCTGGAGCCCTGCAATTCTCACTTTGCAACTGTCTCACGTTAGAAGTACTTGCATTGTTCAAAGGAAACCGAAAAAGTCACTGTAAAATCACATCCCATAGAGACTTTAGTGCAAAGCATCTATCCTGGATTTTTCATGTTGGGGTGGGGGTAATGACTAAATCAGTGGGGATGCCTCCTTCTTATGGATGCCCTTATCACACTTCCCGCAAAGGCCGGCCTGTGGCAGAATTCAGCATCAGCACCCACCATCATCATCTGGGAGCAGCTTGCCCGACTGGGCCCTGGGACAAAAGAGCTCACCTACCAGCCTTCCAGATCAGATATTTCCTCCTAAAGCAGGACCTGGCTGAGACAATCTAAGACTTAAGAACCACTTTATTTTAAACCAAAGAATGGGTTTCTAAAGTGCTTATTTGAAAGCCTGATAATGAGAAATCTGTGTCTTTTGTTAAGATGATTTTCTGCTCCTTCTGCCTCTAGGAATGATTTTCTTTCTCCTTTCTTATCGCAAAGGCTCAGAACAAATTCTCATTGTTATTTGGAGAGAGTGTCCCAGTTCCTGTAGTGCCCTGAAAAAGCTGCAACTATGGGATATTAGCATTATCTCCAGATAGAGAATAGCTTGAAAATGCCAGAACTGGGCTAGAGTGAGACACAGGCCTGGGACTCCCAGAACCACAATTCCCAGAGGCCCACTTGCCCTCTGCAGCCCCAGCCCCTCCCCAGACAGTTGGGTCCAAGCCCTGCACCTCCCACAGGACAGAGGTTGTTGGTGGAATCTGCCTGCGAAGCCCCCACTGGGCTTCTGTGGCCTCCTGGGGTCAGGCAGTGGAGAGGATCCTGCAGGACTGTGAACTGCTGAGCTGCCAGTGGTCCAGGCCAGGCCCAGCATCCGCAGGTGTGCTCTACTGCGTGCACTCCAGGCTGGTGTGTTTGGGACGGATACAGCTGCAGGACTCACCTTGGAAATTCATTAAGAGCAGGGTTATTTCTGAAAGCAAAAGAGCAGTATATAATCTCTGCAGAAACAAAGGCGAACCAGGTGGATAAAAACATTGAAACAGGGAAGGACTTTAAACATTTGAAATAGCAATAGAGGAACCAAAAATAATAGAGATATGGCTTGGAGAAGGCAAGGGAAGAATGGGCATAAACATTTACGGAGCACGGTTTCCTCTCCTTCCCCTTCTCCCCAACCTCAGCACCACTGACCCAGCCTGCACACTGCCAATTGCTCTCTTCTACTAACTTACTGTCCAGGTCCACAGCCTCACCTCTGCCAGCCGCTCTGTCCTCACCCTGGAGCCCAGGGAAATCTGCTGTACCAAGAGGGAATTCAGTTTTGTTTGTAGAAATATTTGCAATCTTTTCTTAGGATGTACCAGAATTGAAAATAAGATAGTAAGGGGTTCTCAAAGAGAAACAGTTATTATAGGGCCCAAACAACTGGAACGTTACAATCACTGCCTCTCAGACCCACTAACAGGAACACAAAGGCTTCTGTAACTGCCTTCCTATCCCAGTCCTGGGCAGTGAGTATTTGGGGAGGACCAGAGACGTAATCTATCCAAAACCATCCAGATAAGCAGAGTGGCAGGGCTGGGACTTGAACCCAGATCTGTTGGATTCCAAAGCTTGCTCTCAATGCATTATGCTCTCTCTCATTGGACCGGTCATGGCCAACTTTTTCTTATCTCTGTGCTGCCCACAGTTAGCTTCCTTAACATCTTGTGTGTGCCTACAGAGAACCCTAGTAGTGCCTTCACCCAGGACAGTTCACCTCGGGTTTGGGGAAGCCAACTAACAACTCTGACAAGTAGCAAGTTGGGCTGTGACCAGCCTTGGCTGTAGACTTTCGAATCCAGGCTCATCTTGGCCCTCCAGTGGCCCTCCTGGTCCCCTCCTCTTCGTCTGTATTGTCCTGTAGAACAATTTAAAGGGCCACTCCCACCACCATCACCACCACCACCACCCACAACAGGTGATGAGTCTTGATATTCTAAGTCCTGGAGGTAAGTGGCAGAGCCAGTTGGCACCCACTCGTGCTCCTCCTCTCTCCACCACCCAGAGGTATGGAAGTTTCTCTTCACTTTTCCAGACTAAATAAAAAATGCATTAATCATTGCCCCATGGGTGGTAGTCACAAATATCACTCTAAAACAAGTAAGCCAAAACACCAAAAAAGCAAATCAAATGCTTTGGTACCGACTTCCTCCCAAATGCCAGAGCAGCCCCTCGGAGCCCTGGGAGCAGTGGCCAAGCTCCAAACGATTGGCTCATGAATAAATCCCTCTATCCCAGGCACCCAGCAGAAAGAAAGGCGGGCTTTCCTTGCAGCCTAACATTACTCTTCTAATCATTATTCATGAAAATCTTCTAGGATTCTTTTTTAAGTTGTAAATGTTATGTAATAAATTATATTTTTGGAAGAAGCAAAAAGAAACCTTAGTTTTATTGATCTGGAAGTTGGCAAAATGAGGCAGGAACACCTCCCAGGGAAAGTTTCTTCTCTGTGCAGAGGATTTAACAGGTGTTAATATTTTCTTCCAGAAAACAGATTATATTAAGGTTTATATGAGCCTGATGATTGCAGAGAGTTTGGGTTCATGAGGTAGTTTATATATTGAGGAAATGTTTTGTAAGTAATAAAATGTGAATACTCTAACTTTCAGTTCTCAGGGTGTTCTGTGGGGAAAGGGAGGTCACTTGTCCATGCTACACCTTGACCTTCAGACTGATTGCCTGGAACAAACACATGCTGGGGATCTTTGATTTCATGGTGTGCTTCCCTCTCCTTCTCCTCTCTCCCCCACAAGCTTTGCTTCAAGTACTCTAAATGGAAATTAAATATTATTATTCAAGTTAGATGTCATTGTCTATCTTAGTTAAAGTAACTAATAGCTGCAATAACAGGTAAGCTCCAGAATCTCAATGGCTTAACACAATTGAAGTTTATTTCTTGCTCACAGATCATGTAAAATTCAATTGGTGGTAATGGGGCTAAGGTGGGCAGTGGTTCTGTTCCATGTAGTCCTTTAGGGATCCAGACTGATGTGGGTTCTCTGCCATCTTCAGCACTTAGCCTCTAAGACTGCTACAGGCATCACCAAGATAGACTATATCAGTAAATTTAAAAGGATTCAAGTCACACAGAGCATATTCTCTGACCAAATTGAATTGAAATAGAAATCTATACATACCTAGAAAACCTCCAAATATTTTGAAATTAATAACACATTTCTAAATAACCCATGGGTCAAAAAAGAAAAAGAAAAATTAGAAAGCATTTTGAACTAATTGAAAATTAAAACATAACATATCAAAGGTTATAGGTGCTGATAAAGCAGTATCTTGAGGGAATTTTATAGCAGTAAACTTCATTGTTAGAAAAGACAAAAGGTCTCAAATCAGGTCAGTTTCTACCTTAAGAAATTATAAAAAAAAGAAGAGCAAATTAAATCCAAAGTAAACAGAAGAAAGAAAATAGTAAATATCAGTACAGAAATTAGAGAAATGAAAACTGATGAAACCAAAAGCTATTTAAGAAAAATCAATAAAATCCTTAATGTGAGCTGAATCCTTCCAAATTTATTGAACAGAATGGAGAGTCCATAAATAGATCCACACATATATGGTCAACTGATTTGAGATAGATGTGTCAAAGTAATTCAGTGGAAAAAGGATATTTTGTCAACAAATGGAGCTAGAAAAATTGTACATCTATATGCAAAATAATGAACCCTTCTCTCATACCATCTACAAAAACCAACTTGAAATGGATCATAGACATAAATCCAAAACCTAAAACTATAAAGCTTCTAGAAGAAAACAGAGGAGGAACTCTTTGTGACCTTGGCTTAGGCAAAGATTTTTTAGACAGCATACCAAAAAAAAGGCACAAAGATTTCTATTCTTTGAAAGTCACTGTAAAGAAAATGAAAAGACAAAGCCACAGACTGCAAAAAAGTGCAAAACAGATATCTGTTAAAGAATTTATATCCAAATACATAAAGAAATCATATAAATAATAAGAAGCAAGACAATCTAATTTTTTAAGTGGGCAATTTTTTTGAATACTTTACCAGAGAAGAATATAGATTGGGTATAAGCACATGCAAAGAAGTTCAACATCATTCATCATTAGGAAAATGGAAATTAAAACTACAATGAGATACATATATAAAAACCACTACATACCTACTAGAATGGCTAAAGTTAGAAAAAGACAATATCAAATGCTAAAGAGGCTACAGAAAAACTAAAACTCTCAGCATGGCTGAGGGGGGAGGGGGTGTAAAATGGTACCTGCACTTTGGAAAATAGTTCAACAGCTTAATATAAACTTAAACCTGTACTTTGCAAAGAGCTCGGCCTTCCCACTCCTAAGTACTTACCCAAATGAAATAAAACCTTATGTTGACACAAAAACCTGGACATAATTACAAATAGATAAATTGGATTACATCAAAATTGAAAACGTGTGTGCTACAAGTGATAAGTGAAAAGATGAAACACATAATGGGAGAACATTTTTGCAAATTATATAGCTAATAAAGGACTCGTGTCCAGAATATATAAAGAACTCTTATGACTAACAAAAAAGATAATTAACCTAATTTTAAACTGGGCAATGGATTTGAATAGACATTTCTGCAAAGAAGATATACAAATGGCTGCAAAGCACATGAATAGATGCTGAATATCATTAGCCACTAGGGAAATACAAATCAAAATCATGAGATAGCACTTCACACCCACCAGGACGGCTAAGTTAAAACAGACGACAAGCTTTGGCGAGAACGTGGATAACCTTGGCCCCTCGTGCATCACTGCTGGGAAATGGACTAGCAAGGGGCGAGAATAAGTAAACAGCAGCACAACCACTTGATGGAATTTATTCAACCTCTGAAATTCAGGCTTATGAAGAGTTTGACACAAGAGGGAAAGTTGGTGCGTGGAGGTAACGGGATGAAGAGTGCACGGCCAGAAGGCCTCAGCTATGGGCGGGAGGGAGGCTGCGGGGCGGCTCTGTGCTGTGGGGGGAGTTGGGAGGTTTGGGCCCTAAGGTGGGCCGGGAGGGATGGGCAGTGGGGGGAAGGGGAGGAGTGATGCTTGCTCGGTCTGCAGGTGGTGGAGGCATTAACTACTGGATCCTGCCTTGGGGCAGGGGGCGCTCTGTCTGCTGTATCCCAGTCTCTGAAGGTCATCCCCCACTGGGCTGCACTCAAAGTCCCCAGGAGATTCCGGGGCACGGAGGGGTGACCTGGGTTGGGGTTTAATCCCTTCCATGACCTTCATCAGCTCTCTCCACCTTCAGCCGCTACAAATACACAATTTAAGAAAATCTTGCAAGCACGGGCTCAAAACAAAGGCCCTGAGGTGCAATCCCCCGCCCAATGGACCGAGAACTCGCAGAAATTCCAGCCTGGGGCTCTGGGGACAACGGGCCCCCCTGCCGGCGGTCTCCCCGCGAGGCCAGGGAAACGCGCAGCGCCTGCCCTGGAACCCAGGTCCCGCGAGTGCGCGAAGCCAGGCCGTGGGGAAGAGCCCAGCCCGGGGCCGGGAAACCCGGCTTCCCGTCCTGACTGCGCCCCGCGGCAAGTTCTTCCTTATCTTCGGGCCTCGGTTTCCTCTTCTGTGAAACGAGGCCGAGC